AGATAGATAGATAGATAGATATAGATAGATAGATACTAGATAGATAGATAGATAGATAGATAGACATAGATAGATACTAGATAGATAGATAGATAGATAGATAGATAGATAGATAGACATAGATAGATACTAGATAGATAGATAGATATAGATAGATAGATACTAGATAGATAGATAGATAGATAGATAGATAGATATAGATAGATAGATAAATAGATAGATAGATATAATATATTTCATGATTGAAAGGTGTATGTATTTAAATGTATATATTGTATTTTTACAGTGTTCCTGCCTCTTACCATTAATATCATTTATGTGTCAGTCATGTTTTGTCCAAGGAGAACAATTTTCTCTAGTCAGCTTGGACGAATTTGACTGGACCTCTGTAGCAAATTTAAGGTCATTTAGCCCAAATATATGAGAAGAAATAAATAAATTAAAAAATATTACACGAAATGACAGGAAAAGCAATGAAAATGAGTTTTAACATGCTAAAATTAATACATTTTATTCATATCTAAGATATAAAAAAAGTTTTGCTGATTATTATTACATTAGCTTATTAGAAACTTGCATAAATGGCTGAGAATATCTGCACCTATTATCGTTGGAGTGTGCAAATTTAAGGTCTGAAAAGGAAAGAAATAGTTTCAAATAACCAGGATTATTATTTCCTTCCCATTTGCTTAAATGCTTTCCTTTTACTTGACTTCAATATTCTCTCCTTTCTATTTTGTATTTAAAGGCTGGTTGTCCCTTGATGATTGATTGTAAGTTTAAAACAGGCTGTATGAGTAGCCACCGCTCACGTTCCTCATCTCGCTCCAACGTCGGTACCATTTGCCGCACGACCTCCGTCAGTTGCCATGCCTATAAAAAGGCATATATAAAAAGATCTAATCTGAATGGGTACCCTGACTGGATGCAAAAAATTTTGTTCAGACTAAGTTAATTTAATAGATCGTAAATCATACAGAACTTATAGTCAAATATTCGTCAAGTATATTTTTAATTGGTTTCCTTTTTTTCTTCACCCAGAAATATAACATCGAGTAAATAAATATATAATGTGTATAACATAGATAAAGTAAAACTATAAGTCTTAAGCCATGACAAGAATGGAATAGTCTAAAGGGCAATCATATGTTTTTTTTTCTTTATCCGGGAACCAAGGTTATATTAGATGCGTACATATCTACCTCGGCATGTACAAATCTACCGCGGCATGTACTAGCACTGACCAGCAAAGCCAGGAAACTGCTAGGCGCTCTCTGCCAACTCAAAGGTAAACTGAGAACAGAGGTCCTTGAGCTAGCCTATATCACCATGATTCGATGAGCTTGAATGGGACAGCCTTTCTACCAGGAGACACTACCACTCCATGGTGTTAATGTACAAGATGACGCATGGCCTAGTCCCAGTACACCTGCAGTCACTCATCCCCTCCACTAGAGGCTAACGGAGAACGACTCGTCTACAGCTACGCAACACTACACATCTTCATGTTCCCCGCTGTAGAACGAAGGTGTACAGGTCCAGTTTTATTCCACACGCCTCTACCTCTCTGGAGCCGCCTTCCACAGGCACTGAAGGAAGCCAGCAGCCTAAACGACTCCAAGAGAAAGTGCAAGGATTACCTGTTCACTTCGAGACAGACATCAAAGTACCCTGTACTACAACATCCTAACTGCAAGGCTACGAAGGGACTGGAGCCCACTAAATGCCATCTTGCACCTGATGAAAATCAAAGACAAACTGTGCTCCTGTTGTACCTCTTTACTTGCTACGCTGTCATCTCTTCAGCCACAAGCGTCACATTTTAGCCTCCACAGTAGACCTCACATTACACTGTCTAACCAAATCTGTTCTACTACAGGGGTTACCAGGCTGTAACATTCACTTCTTTTTGAGGCACTTGAAACAATTATTTCCGCCACAAAACGTTTTGATGGTCCTTTCAGTGATAACACATAAGATAACCCCATAAGATCTAACTTTACATATATTTCTTCACATATTGTATTATTGTTATGAGCTATGACCTCCCGAACTGTATATTATCATTATCTTGTTTGAATACTTTCATTAAGCTTTGTGCTTTGTCTGTTAAAATTTTATATTGTTAATTGGTGGATACTGTGGTACTTGTTATTAAGTTATTAATATGTTATATTGTGTATGTTTAATTTGTGTATTTCTCGGCACCAGAAATCAGGTATGCTGCCTGGGTGGCCAATGTAGTGCCCTGGTGCAATTGAATAAAAATAAAATAAATCTACCTCGGCCAGCATTCGCCTGCAATATGTATGATCAACGATAAACTGTGGACTCCACGTGGAAGCTTTCACAGTGAGTGTAGAGACAGCGCTTCTTCCTTGGTCTCCATGGCAGTAGAGGCTGACGTTCATTTTGATTTGCCTAAAGTAGTCAAGCTCCCGGAAGAAATCTGGACCCTGTGATGTTACGGGACACTTGGTAAGGAACACCATAAAGCGTTTTAGTAGATATCAAGATGTCAACACGCCCACTGGAGAGAATTGTGAGCGTACTCCTTAAACACTTGACCTACAGGTTTATGTCCCTTTCAAATGATATTATACCTAACCGAATATAATGTGATGAAAAAATGCATATTGGGGTAGCCTCACCTGTGCTGCAATTTTCTGCCAGAAGGACTTGTTGAACGTTTCATACAGACGGTAATCCACGGCCTTCCATTTCCGAAGGTTTGCCAGTTCCTCAGGGGTGGGGATATAGGATTTATACGAGTAAGACCTATTGTTCTTTGGTTTAATGCAGTCATACAAGACGTCTTGTATCTCCCAGCACATCAGGCGTCTAAGGAGAACGAAAGACTCGTCTAGGTGCTCCGTCAGCATGACTAACGTGAAGTCGTTTTCCAATTCTTCGATGTATCTTTCTGCTGCTTCCTGAAGATCATTTCAAAGAACTGTAAGTCAAAGTTTATGATCAAATAACCACATCTGAATCATGAGTTATCTAATTCATTGTTGTTCTTTTTTTAATACACCATTCAAGTAACTTAAATCCTCAATTGAAGAATTTTAAGCAAGAGAAAAACCAGCATACAAATGGCTGGCAGAAAAAGACAGCACCTATAACTTAACCTCGTTAACCATTGGGAAAAGGACAGTAGGGGACCCTTCTTTTTAAAATTGTTGTTGTTGTCCCTCCTTGTTGAGTATTAACACTAATTCATACAAACGGTAAGGTTTTTACAGACTATTTTTAGCTGGAATATGGGACAAAGTCAGTAACACGCACACACCTCAGTTAAAGTTCACGTGCCTAACTATACAAGACAATGCTGTCGGCTGGTACTGAAAGCTGCTGGTTGATATATATACCACAGGGAACCCCCAGGTATTCATTTATATATATATATATATATATATATATATATATATATATATATATATATATATATATATATATATATATATATATATATATATATATATATATATATATATATATATATATAAATCCTATTTAGACTGGGAGTGGCTCAAAGTACCCGCGCAATCTTTGATGTTGGATAGCGTGGATAGCGTCAGAACGCCTTGCGGTAGGGCCACCAAACAGTTTTTTTCCTAAAATATTGTTGGCAACAAGTTCATAGCAGTGAGATAATAAATGCACTGTTGGCATTGCAACGGTTTTTTGGGGGCAAAAATTAGTAATCGTGTTAAAACAATAAAATTTCCTGGCATGCTATGGACAACATAACTTTTAGTAGACCTTAAAATTCTTTCATAAACACTTTTTGTTAAACTCGTGTTGCATACCAAATTTTTACGATACTAACCTATCGAGATGGTTTTAGGCCATAAAATCGCATGAATGGCTGAGCCAAACCACAGTTCCACTGATCTCAAAAAGCCCAGTCAAGGTTTAAATCTATGGCTAAATTTAAATGTCTTTTTATATCTTAAATATTTTTTTATCTGAGTTACAATCTGATCTCATACTAAAAGAAGAACTTGAATTCGCGGTCAAATCACTAAAACTAGTTAGGTCTGCAGGACCAGACACTATCCCAGCAGAACTGATAAAGGCTGGTGGACAAACTATGATCACAGTGCTAACTTCCATTTGTTACATAATCTAGAAAGAGATCTCACCCTAAAATCTTAGCAAGAACAGACAGTTGCTGAAAGGGACAGATGCAGACTGAACACCAAAGACAAGACCCTATGTCTACGCTCCAAAATCAACCTCCGATGCGTTTCTTAACTCTGTCAATTTATTTATGCGGCTGTAAAACCTGGACAGTAACAGTCGACATACAGAAAATTATTCTTTTAATAGAAACACATTGCTTCGGAAAAAAATTCTGGGCATCACATACCTAGATCGTGTCAACAACAGAAAGGTCTACAATAAAGTAATGCAATCAATCGGTCCACATGACAACCTACTGACCACCGTAATCAAACGTAAGCTAAGATTGTTTGGTCATGTTGCAAGATCATCAGGACTTGAAAAAACTGTACTACAAGGGACAGTGCCAGGAAGCCGAAAAAGGGGTGGTCAGAGAAAGAGCTGAGAAGACAATATAAAAGAGAGGACTGGGTTGAGTCCAGCTGAAGCCGTACGAGCGGCGGAGGACAGAGTTAAATTGAAAATAGTGGACCAAGTCATGGTGCCCCAGCGACCCTCAACGAGGTCAAAGGATAGGTGACGTAAGGTCTTCGTATTTGAACAGAAATTTCCAAAGTTTGTTTAAAATACTTGCTAGAATCTCGTTGCTATGGTGAAACAAAAGATTTTAACTCCACTTACTAACAAACATAAATTGTTTCAATGTTTATTTTCTAAATGTGACCAAGTAACCGACATCACAATTACCGCGGGTGCCCTTTTGCCACCTTTCCCGTCTAGGTTCAAATAAAAGTAAATCATGATTTGCTACCAGATCCTCAGCTCCTTCTGTAGGGTATCCTAAGTCGAAGGCCATGTGGTTCCTGGTGCCGTCCCACGTTACATTACAGTAGGGAAACAACACCTCAGACAGGTTTCTGTATTTCCATGGATCTTCCAAGAAGGTCTTGACAGGATTTGCAGATGACGTAATGTTTAACAGTCGAGGAAGACTGTAGAAGCGCATGCATGACTTCAGGTGACTAAGAGGTTCTCGAATAAGAGCTGTTTGTAAGGCAAGAAGAAACAGGAATTAATATTGCATTAAAACATGTAATTAAATACCTCACTTGCATGGAGTATGTCAGTTAATCTTATTCTCTTCCCAATGATGGTCTTACCTTAAAAAAGTTAAAATAAACATTTTGTCATAAATATTACAAATGTGATTAATCAATGCAAATGAGATTAATCATATGTTTAGTAAAGTTTACGCTCAAGAAATTCCAAATATAGGAATTGTTACATTCCAAGCAGTTACCACTATAAAGTACATCATTTACTTTTAAAGTATGCAAATAAGGTGCTTAATTACATAAGGCCACGCTATCTTCAATTGTTTGTTTAGGATTTAAAAAAACTGATTTTGTAAATGAAAACCAAGTTTGAATAATAAATCAGGAAATGCAACAATAGCCTTATTTTTAAGAATGGGGCTGTATTTACTGAAAGATGATCAACAGGGATAATTCATGTTAATAAACCCTTAATTGCAAAATTGCAATTTATGAGGGACAATTTGACATAATTAGGTGTGAACTAGAAATGCCAACAATTGCTTCGAAGCAAATGTGATATTTCACTCCATCTCCCTCCCCAAACAAAAATAGAAGATTCTAAATAAATCATACTGCAATTATACAAGGACAAGTACGTTGAATCTTGACGGCTTTATTTACAAAAATGGCACTTGGCAATTATCTCCAATTTGTTTTTACAAAGATACAAGGACAAGCACTTTAAATCTCGACAGCTTTACTTTTAACTTATCTTAATCTCAAAGTTATATATTGCATGTATCTAAATACTACTAATGACGAGATTGTAACTACTACTATCTGTACCAAAATTTTCACGGTCTAAGAAAAATGGACATGTTCACGGAACTATATATTCACGGTGGTGACAGTTGCAGGAGAAAAAAGTCCAGGAATTATTTCCTAAATGTAATAATAAGTTCCCAGTACAGAGGTGACAGTGAAAACCGTGAACATTATTTATTTATTTATTCACATACTTGTACTGACTATAAGGCAAAAGGCAAGAGTTGCTTATATGAAACCTACTCAAAAACATACAACGAGTATAAAACACATTGACAAAATACATGCATACAAGATAAATACCGTGAACTATGACCTCCCACTAGCGTTGCAGCACATTAAAAAAAATCGGGACTTACCGTTAATTAACCCTCAACAGTACACCTTCCCGGACTGATTAATCCGTACACCTGGGTGTCCGCGCGGACCCCAAAGGAGTTATTTGCTAATTTTTAGAAATCATCAACATGATACCAGCTCAATTGTTTTGCAAATTGATGTGTGAACCTCTGAGCCCACATTACGTACAAAAATCATACGTTTTGACCTTTTCCTATTTTTTTGGCGAAGAAAAGACAAAAAGAAGAATTTCCCGACTTTTAAACCCTATTCAGACCGAGTGTTTTTTTGAGGCCCGCGCCAACTTTAATCTCGGATAGGGACTGAACAGCTTAAGCTAGAACCATCAAATTTGGTGACCTTTCCTGAAATGCATCTGGGAAAAATTCATATCAGTTAAAAGACTTAATAATTTTCGTGTTGCATTGGCAACGGGTTTCTGACAGGCAGTTTTTGGGAAAATCCGTAATTTTGGTTTAAACATTAAAATGTCAGGGTTTTATATCCAATAACACTTCCTTTCTGACGTTATTAACATCTTAAATAATTAAAGATAAGTTAAATCATTAAATATTCATAGTATATGCTAATGTGATGACGTCATCAGTCAAAATACAAGATTGCGGACCATATTACTAGCTCTGACGTCATATGACGTCATAATTACACTAAAATTGTTAGGATTTAATTCTATTAGTACACAATTCTCTGAAAATTTGGTGGCCATACGATGAGTGCATAAAAACATATAAAAACGGAAATAAGGTAATGTATAAGAACGCCAGTGTATCCATCATGATCAAAAGCCGGCTGGGGACGCGCAAACCCCAAAGAAAATCAGATATAATTTTTTTTTTTTAAATGGGGGAAACTGAATTTTCTGCACTGTATTAAGGGATAACTTTGTGGGTGACAATTACCTGAAATTTCAGAAAAAAAATCTTTAGAAACAAGAAAAATATTACAGAATATATAGTGCTGGGGTCCGCAGGTGTACTGTTTAGGGTTAATTTACAGGGTATATTTGATTAGTTTCCAGCTGTTTTGTATGATTGTCGTAAACGAAAACCGATGCGCGCACATATGTCATCCATATAATCAAATCAACATGACGTTATTTACAATCACATAAACTATGAAACCATACATTGAATAAGCTATACATATATTATGATTATCATATAAAACCATGCATTGAATAAGCTATACATATATTATGATTATCATATAAAACCATGCATTGAATAAGCTATACATATATTGTGATTATTATAAGCTTTATTTTGAAAATGAGGCCGGTAAGCTAATTACATGCCTAGGGGCAATTTATCCACTTTACCTCTACGAAATTCCGGGTCATTTTGCTCCAAAATAAAGGAATTGAATCAATTTAAAGAAATGGCAGGAGATGAAAAAAAAAAGAAACATTTGGAAAAACAGTATTTCACTTCATACTATTCATGAAGTGAAATAGTAATGTATTATCATGTCATAATCCAAACACCTGAACAAGATGCCTTTAGGCAGCTTTGTCAATGACCTTTGACCCCAAGTATATGGGCAACTATGTCTAGGGTCACAATTTTGTTTTAGTTTTCTAGGTGGAGTTTATTCAAATGGCAGCAGAAAACTCAAACATATTACCTGGAAGAAAAATTGACGACAGCAAAAGACTCACATGAAAAATCATGTTTTGGAATGGACCACATTTTGGAAGTAAGTTGCACTTTATTTAATTTTAGTCCAAATCATGATTTGGAATGGAATGCGTTTTGGAATGCAACATAGTCAGTTTTGGTGCCATACGGTGGTTTATGGGTTCAAGGCACTACTTAAAACTATTCTACAATAATCATGGATCGCCTTTAAACAATTGTGTTTCAAACGTTTAACATGTTTTGGCGGATGTATGTGACAGTCAAACTCTTTTTACTATATTGCTGTCTAGACTTGAAGTAAACATAAAGCCCCCCTCCCCCGCTGGCCCCAGCGTGGCCAAAAATGAAAGGTCTGACTATGTTTGAATTGTTTGTGTGTTTTTCATTTCCGGCAAACTGCCCTTAGACGCAACACACCTGCATTGTACATGTAAGTACAAGCTGCATAAGACAAGTCTGTTAGTTTTGAACCACTCACACCAAG